AGTACTATAAACATACTCTAGCCCACGTGTGATATACAACATTTTATCTACGACTCTTAAAAATTACTTAAAAATCAATTTCTTTAAAAAGGTCTATTCTGACATTTATAAAAATGTTTTGAAATGATTGTTGGCAATTTTGAATTAATGTCAGTTTCAATAACATGTTTACTCATCTGGAATAAGTGTTTAGAAATGTAAAAACATAACAATTAATGTTTATAATAAATAGTATTGTTTCTCTTTAAATAGGTAGCACTTTTCCTTTTGTATTGTCGCTCGTTTCAATAAATTAAATCTGTTCTGATTGGGCTAAAAATGCGTTACGTAATGAAACTAGTGCGGTAATGAACTTCATTACGTAACTCAAATGAGTGTGATAATGATGTGACATCATGACTTATCCAAGTAGTAGTAGTAGATACCGTCTTTTTCCGAAAATAAGACACTGTCTTATTTTCTTTTTTGGTCCAAAATACGCGCTAGGGCTTATTTTCAGGGGAGGGCAAAAATAAAAGTATATTTATATATTTTTATCTACGACTGGTTGGATAAGTCATCATTACCGCACTCATTTGAGGTGATTTGAGTTATGTAATGAAGTTCATTACCGCACTAGTTTCATTACGTAACGCATTTTTAGCGAGCAACAATACAAAAGAAAAAGTGCTATCTACTTAACAGAGAAACAATACTATTTATTATAAACATTAATTGTTATGTTTTTACATTTCGAAACACTTATTCCAGATGAGTAAACATGTTGTTGAAACTGACAATTCNACCTCAAATGAGTGTGATAATGATGACTTATCCAAGCAATCGTAGATAATAGTTATTTATATTACAAGTGGGTTAGAAACATAATTACTGTACGAGTGCGGAGAATTGCACGGCGAGGTCGTGTAATCACACGAGTAATATAATTATACTCTAGCCCACGTGTGATATACAATATTTTATCTACGACTGCTAAAAATTACTTAAAAATCAATTTCTTTAAAAAGGTCTATTTTGACATTTTTAAAAATATTTTGAAATGATTGTTGACAATTTTGAATTAATATCAGTTTCAATAACATGTTTACTCATCTGGAATAAGTGTTTAGAAATGTAAAAACAACAATTAATGTTTATAATAAATAGTATTGTTTCTCTTTAAATAGGTATCACTTTTCCTTTTGTATTGTCGCTCGTTTCAATAAATTAAATCTGTTCTGATTGGGCTAAAAATGCGTTACGTAATGAAACCAGTGCGGTAATGAACTTCATTACGTAACTCAAATCACCTNAAATATTTTTATAAATGTCAAATAGACTTTTTTAAAGAAATTGATTTTTTTAGTAATTTTTAGCAGTCGTAGATAAAATGCTGTATATCACACGTGGGCTAGAGCATAATTACAGTACTCGTGTGATTGCACGACTCGGTCTACGACCTCGTCGTGCAATTCTCCACACACAATTATGTTTCTAGCCTACTTGTAATATAAATAACTATTATTTAATATTTATTTTACACAGAATACAGAAATTTAAATTTATTCAATTACAGTCATGTCATCTTCTTCTGGAACATCGTCATAAATAAAATTCTGAATTATATTCTGATTTTCTTCCAAATCCATTTCCTGTTGAATCATTGGTCCGAATCTCTCATGTCTTACGATATAGCTATCTCGTTAAATGAATACTTCTTGTCTAAGTAGCCTGTTCGTAGTGCATTGGAAACATCATTATCAGTTATTTTGTCCCATGAATTTTTTACCCAATTCACAACTTCTTGTAAGCCTGGTTTTACAAAATTACCTCGATGATTTCTCACCATTCTGTTTTCAATATATTCATTGATTTCCATCCGCAAATGATCCTTGAATGGCTTGTTTATTGCCATTCCTGCCGGAATCATTATTTGATCAATCTTCCTCTCAGCAAGAAAGTTTTTCATGTCTTTAGCGCGATGAGTACTGGCTGAATCCCAAACTGATTCTGACCCCTCAACAGTGGTGGCAGCATAAAATCGACCCACTTTCTTATAACTGCTTAGGTGCACCAGGCTTTTTCACTTTCAATGACATAAATTCCTGATACACGTTGAATCTGGTCTTTTTTACCTTTAGTGATTAAAAATGGCGATACTTTCTTGCCATGACGAATCGCCAAAATACAGGTAACACGTGCACTATCGTAACCGGTAGAAGGAACGTAAATTGACGACAAAGCCTTGTGGTGAACTGTCGTTTGAGCTCCTTGGCCTAGGAATACCGCGGTCTCATCCATAGCAATCATGTTGGAGAGTTGGTATTTCGAAAAATCGATGCCATCAACAAAAAGCTTAAACGCAAGTGCACGCTTAACAACTTCATTGTCTTCCAGCTTAAACAATGTTGTTGATCTCCTTAGAGACAGTTCATATCGTTTAAGGAAGTTGTCCAACCAGTGTGACGATGCTTTAAATTCTTCTGTGGATATATCAAATTCAATTGCTGTTTCAAGGGCAAATTTTTGAATATCAGCCCTGCGCACAACCAAAGCCATTGCTCTCCTGCCTGCAATCCATTCCCAGATGCAATCTTCCAACTCAGAAAATAACGACTGCCGACCTGATCCAACTCTGCGTTTTTTCTCATTTCCTTGGTCCACCAGTTGACACAGGTAATCGTAGTCTGCACGCCATTTACGAACCATACGGAGATCCAGCATCTTCTCTTTACAGAATGCTACAAGATTTACACCCCTGGAGTCTTCCACGATTCCCTTTTTGTACTCGACAGAATAGCTCTTTCGTTTTGTACTCATTTTAACTGGGGTTAAAAATTTTTCACTTTATTTTTAAATAAAATTACGTATGAGGAAATAATCAGACTTACAAGACTGAAATTATTTACGTTGAACGCCGTATACCCTCTGTTTCGTAGTGTGAACAGCGTGGACCTTCGATGGTGCGTACAAGTGCATTGTGCCTCTCTGTCAGGGTTTTTACTTATATACCGCTCGGG